ATGAAACCTATAGCCACCGCTTGTCCTCTGACCCGCTATAATGTATAACCAACACTCTTTCATGATGAAACCTATAGCCAACGCTTGTCCTATGACCCGCTATAATGTAGAACCAACACTCTTTCATGATGAAACCTATAGCCAACGCTTGTCCTCTGACCCGCTATAATGTATAACCAACACTCTGTCATGATGAAACCTATAGCCAACGCTTGTCCTCTGACCTGCTGTTACATGTAACCTACAGTCTCTTCTCTCCTTTTGCAAAGTACATGTCATGCTATCAGCCCAAGACAATTGAGGTTTTCGGTATTTTGTTACAGTGGTTGACAGTGGCGTCGAGTCAGTGTCATGTCCGGACTGTGAAAACACGTTCAACACTGCCAAAGATATACATGATGTGCCAGGAAGTTGCATGTAAGTTTTGAGAGGTTGTATTTGCTGATTAGTTAATACATTCTTTGTCAGAAGAAAACAACAACAACAACAAAAACACACAGTTTAACACAGCGTAAAATCACCTAAAGATCAGACGAAGTTGTTGCAGAGATTTGTTATTTCACAGACACCTGCAGTTGTATAGCCCGGAGCACTGACGTGAAGGCAGATCCGGTGTTTACAAAGAGTAAGAATGAACCTTCGCTACACCGACGTTCTATTGCTACACTGTTTATATAGTCATCTTGGGGCCAGTTTACCACATTGACATCACACAAAAGTTGTATTGGGAGTTTGTCTATGTCTACTTCAGGGCTTGGAAGGCCTACCTCACCTGCCTGGAAACTGCTACCGACGACTGCCCCCAAGGCAGTGGCCAAGTTGAGGAGATCGGTAACTTCTACGGTTACATCAGTCATAACTGCAGTGAGTATATCTGTTTCAGTACATGAATACATAATGTGGGTAAACAAAAATATACTCAAAGGCAAAAGTTATTGTGATTGACTTGATTTGACGCGACGAGAATTAACATCTGATATTTTTATGATGAGACTTTTTAGTATTGCAAGAAGATCATTCAACAGGATTACAAATGGCACACTTTAAACTTTTCTGGCGGACACATGCTAATGAGGTCAAAATGAAATTCACACAGTCAATAACGTGTATGTCGACCATGAGCATTGATGCATGCTTGACACCTGCGCCTGATCGAGCCACTCAAACGGCGCAAGAAGTCTTGTGGAATGGCATTCCATATCTGCGGAAGCACCTGGTGGAGTTCCTGAAGCGTGACTGGGGGATTTGGCCAACGTCGTAATCTCCACTCCATTTCGTCCCAGACGTGTTCGACGTGGTTTCGTCCATCAGCGCAGTGCCAGAGGAATCTGGAACATGTCTCCACTCGCGGGCTCACCATTGCAGATGTTGTCTGCACCGGTGACGGATTGCCAAAGTTTGTCGTCTGAAAAGACGTCTAGCACGTATCCCGTGTGCGGCCAGACGTCGGCGAATGGTGCTTGGCGATATCCTGTTGACACCTAGAACACTGTTCTGTCTGTCAGTGTGGCTGGTTGGAATCTTTGGCGGAGATGGGTGGTTCCATTCCAACGATCGTTGCGTGGCCTGGTTACAGGTGGACGGCCACTTCGGGACTGTCTGCAACGACGGCGTTTTGTTGATAACGTCTTCACAAGCGGCATATGTTGTCCCTGTGCACGTTAAACTGCTGTGCAAGCGGCTTCAAGCATTCCAGTAACTCGCCATGTTTCATTTTCAGTAAGCAGTGGCGTAGAGAAATGAAAGCAGATTCCTCCAAATTTGTTTTTCGGACCCGTCGACGTCTAAACAATGATTTGGGTGACCATGATTCGAGGTTTAAAGGGCGCCGTTGATGCCTCTTTTTCCACGGACTTCTTGAGAGCACGAAAAACGCATGCAAAACAAAAACTACCGACAGGGCCCTGTTTGGGTTAAGGATTAAGTGTATTATAAAGAATATTCAAATGCGTTATACAGATTTTCTCATTTATATCAACAAATGTGTTGATCACACTAATTTTTGCCTTTGAGTATACATTTATAAAATGTATCGGAATAATGTGTAATACAAGGCAAAATATTATCATTTAATAAACAATACCTTAAATATCATTCATAACAATATATTAAATAAAATATATCAGTTAATGTGTTAACCTTGTATTCCGGTGTAACAAGCATGTGTAAAGACGTGCGAGGGTTATTTCCGGAATTTGTCATGTAGTAGCAGTTGGGTAAGGGTGGCCGTTCAGTGTGTATCATGTTGCAGCGCTCACCGACGCCTGTCTCTGCCAGAAGGCGTTCTGGGAAACACATCTAACAAGTACGGGCAACGCAAACTGCATGTAAGCCACATAATGATCATTGTTACGGCCAGTGTTGTTACTTTTACATTCGTGTCGTGAGTAACTAGCTTATGTATTGTTCCAGTGTCCCTTGTTTTCCCATGTTGTTTTCCAATGTTGTTTTCCCATGTTATTTTCCCATGTTGTTTTCCCATGTTGTTTGTCATGTTATTATTCCATGTTGTTTTCCAATGTTATTTTCCCATGTTGTTTTCCCATGTTGTTTTCCAATGTTATTTTCCCATGTTGTTTCCCATGTTGCTTTCCCATGTTGTTTCCAAAATGATGATCAGTTTTCCTGATACGATAAGCCGTGTTTTCCATTCTCCACGTTTGAAGTTTTAGTCACAAAAGTCACGCACAAGTGTACAAGTAAGCACACATGGTTTCTCCATACAACACACGATATAACCCACAGTGCCATACTATGCAGTGGCACACCTGGTTTCTCCATACAACACACGATATAACCCACAGTGCCATACTATGCAGAGGCACACATGGTTTCTCCATACAACACACGATATAACCCACAGTGCCATACTATGTAGTGGCACACCTGGTTTCTCCATACAACACACGATATAACCCACAGTGCCATACTATGCAGTGGCACACCTGGTTTCTCCATACAACACACGATATAACCCACAGTGCGATACTATGCAGTGCACCATGAAAACAGTTTGTTTAGGCGACTGTGAACATAAGTATTACAACTGTATCACAGGTTTTACAAGCCCTTGCCGCACAAGTCCATATTTCTTCAACAAGCCATCAGTAGGCGACCGGCAAGCAAGGCAACAAACAATCAAACTTGATGTAGTCACTTAAAAAAACCTCACATCATGAATAGATGCGTAAAACAAATCAAAGTTTGTCATCCATGTTGAAGGTGCACCGTCACCGAGAATGGCAAATTCAAAGTATATTCCACTTAACACCTCTTTACTTTCGCCCATATACTCACGATCTCCATTTTCCTACGGTACTAGAAAAAGAACTCTTTCCAATTCGTCCCTCAAATGAAACAAAGTACATTTGCCCATACGTCTTAGCAATGTATTTGATGTATATTAGGAATTTGTTATATGTTTGCATTTATCTAAACAATTCCTTGTATGACTATAGATTGTATTTACGTTATTTTATATAATCGTCTCCCAGACAAACCGATCCCGAGTGTATCCTACCATTCGATATACATCCAGATATGGCACTGGGTCAATGTTTGATTTCATTCCATACAGAGCGGCAAAAACTCGCATCTCCTGTTTGAGAGGAAAGAGGGGACTCGCTTGTGACAACTCAACGTCAGTAGCAGGGCTGGCTGTAGCAACTGAAACGTTCATCGGCTCATTCGGTGCCTGTAGTACGTATACATGCCAATTGTGTTACATAATACTTTAACTCCTGACACATGTTATACAGCTATGTATACCCAATGTAGTTCACTCTTGAGCGGGGACTTTGAAGGTCAAACAGTCCATCGTTGTAGAGCAACGAAATATCATGGGGAAAATACATACGTCATCTCTGCACATTGACTAAACACGTTGCCAATGTCAAGGCAAAACGTTTTTACAGGGCATGCGTTCCAGTTCCATTAGAGTAACTCAGGGTTTCAATGTGTACGTCATGCTAGATGCACGTGGAGTGAGATATCTGTACAACGGAGAGCAGAATAGTCATCAAAGGTTTAGGGATGAGAAAGCATCATTCCAGCAACAACTCCAAACCCAACAAAGACAGTCGGGCCCATCAAGGTCCGAACTACACCAGTCTATCCTTCCGAGTCATGGCGATAATCTGCCATGTTGCAAAGCGTGTACCAGTGATCATCTATATAATCAAACTGCATCAATATTCTAGATCTCTTTGTTAACCAACGTGAACACTTCGTTAACAGGCAGTAAAGGACTTATGGTAAACATTGTCATGCACCATGTGTTCATCGATGTCGACATTGTCTGCTATTAACTTCTTTGAGTCGCATCTTTAGAAGATGGTGAATCAGGTAAGGAACAAACTTTATGGATGAACAACTTCTTTATTCGGAAGATGCGATGTTTCGATACAGATTCTTGTATCGTTGTCAAGTAAGTTGTTCATCCATAAAGTTTGTTTCTTATCGTCTGCTATTGCATCTACACGGATCTAATATACACACGAACATAAATTATGCACCCCTAATCCAAGGGCAACATAGTTAAACTTTTAGGCCTATCAGGCTATCGTACCTTGACTTAGTGGAATCCACACGCACAATATCTGTTTCACACAATATCTCAAAAGCTATGGGTCGCATGTTCACCTGCTGCGAAGGCGCCAAGGGTTAGGAATTTCATTATTGCAATATGTGCACGACAGTTTTCTGAACATTTTCAAAGACAACAGTACTAAGAATTCAAGTAACTTTCCTTGACATGGCAAGACGTAGACTTTCAGAAAACATAAGGTGGCATGCCTGACGCCAGGGTGTCCTGCCGCAACACCGATGTTAACTTTCACAACACGGATATTAGTTGACTTGAGGCGAAGTACGTGGATCGTCCAAGATCTCGAAGAGCTAGGACGATCTATGATCGTAATGACTGTTTTGGATTTTGAAGGTGAAGGACACACAGCACATGTTTTCTGAACATTTATTCACCTCACAAGTATGAACTCTGTTTTAATGTAAGTAAGATTACTGATGATAACTTCCAAAACGTGGCTTACATGTAAGAAACGGTAATGTTCGTTAATCATCCCAGAGCAACTGGCTAACTACAGTTTTCATTTATGATTAGACTATAAATGCAATGTCTATGTAAGTTCTGCATGAGACAGAAAGTTGAGAAAACCCGAGTTTCATGATGTGTACTTTTTATTTGTGTGGCGGATACGATATCCAGTCAGGAAGCAAACTTCCTATGTACTTGTATAATTTCTTATGTTTGTTTGTTTTTGACAAAATATGCATTTTCCATCTCAGAAAAACACTGTACAGTTTTGAAAATAGTTGCTATAAGATGTATACACCATTTTATCCTCATGACAAACTCAAAAGGAAAATTTAAGATAGTATCTATAAATTGTAGAGGCTTAAATAATAGTTTCAAAAGGAAACAAGTTTTCAGGTTTTTAAAAAAAAAAGGCACATATTTATTGCTTGCAAGATGTGCATTTCACAGCTGACCAAGAACAAATCATAAAACAGCAGTGGGGTTATAAAGAATGCTACATTAGTCCATTTAGAAGTAATGCAAGAGGTACAGCTATCTTATTCAATAATACCTTTAAATTTAAGGTACTACAATGCAAGTTTGATAAAGAAGATGGTAACTATGTAGCAGTAGATGTTAACATTGATGATAAGATATTGACTTTAATCAATCTTTATGGGCCTAATTCTGATAAACCTGAGTTTATTAGGAAAATAAAAGAAATTGCTGGGAATTTAACATGTGATAAACCTATTATGTGTGGAGATTGGAATTTAGTGTTAGACCCTGATAAAGATACTTACAATTATAAACATATAAATAACCCTAAAGCAAGACAGGAATTACTCAAAACAATTGATATATTAGATCTTAAAGACCCATGGCGAGAGTTTTACCCATCAGCTCGAAGATTCACCTGGCGACAACCAACACCATTAAAGCAAGCTCGTTTAGACTATTTTCTAGTTTCCCATAATATTCTCCAGTCCATTGAGAAAAGTGATATCATACCTAGTATAAACTCAGATCACTCTATAGTATCTCTTACAATTTCACTTTCGGAAATTGAGATTAAACTGGGAGACGTAGCTGGTAGACAGTCAGACGTATTACTAGAAAAATACAAATCAACTAAACTTGAATTAGAAAACTTACATAAAGTAAAAACACAAGGCTCCTTTATTAGATCAAAAGCCAAGTGGATAGAACATGGAGACAAACCATCCAATTACTTTTTAAAATTAGAAAGTAGAAATTTTCTAACTAAATCTATCTCAGCACTTGAAAAACCAGATCGAACGTTATTGAGGAAACAACATGAAATCATTCAAGAAGTGAAACATTTTTATGAAAAACTGTATGAAACTGAAGACTGTACACAGATTGATCTGGAAAACCTTTTTGCTAAAGTATCAGTGCCTAGGTTAGACTGTCAAACATCACTTTCCTTAGAAGGGGAGCTGACCTATAATGAAGTACTTGAAGCACTAAAAAAAATGAAAAATGATAAGAGTCCTGGCCCAGATGGCTTCACAGCAGAATTTTTAAAGTTCTTTTGGTTAGACCTCAATAAATATTTGATAAATGCTTTAAATTATGCATATAAAACAGGGGCCTTATCTACTACCCCAAAACAAGGTCTAATCACTTGATTGCCTAAAGAGAACAAATCAAAACTCTTTCTAAAAAATTGGCGCCCTATTACTCTTTTAAATACTACTTATAAATTAGCTGCATCGACAATTGCAAATAGAATAAAGCCAATCTTACCACTGCTTATCCATGAGGATCAAAAGGGTTTTGTATCGGGTAGATATATAGGTGAAGTGACTAGATTTATTTATGATATATTAGACTATACAGAATCATACCAGATACCAGGCTTACAACTACTTATTGATTTTGAAAAGGCATTTGATTCTGTGGATAGAAAATTTATACATAATGTACTTAACTTTTTCTCCTTTGGGCCCAGTATTCAAAATTGGATAAAATTATTTTTCGAAAACATTGAAACAAGTGTTTTGGTTAATGGTTTTGCAAGCCCCTTCTTTAAGGTTACAATTAAGAGGTTGTCGTCAGGGGGATCCTATATCACCATATCCCTTCATATTATGCGCAGAAATCCTAGCAATAATGTTAAGAAATAATAAAAACATAACAGGATTAAAACTTGGTAATATATATTCCCTTCTAGCACAATTTGCAGATGATACCACCCTTAGTTTAGATGGATCAGAAAAAAGTCTCTACTCTACAATGAGTACATTATCCTTTTTTGCTAGATTTTCAGGATTAAAAGTAAACACAGAAAAAACCAAATTGATATGGATAGGTTCCAAAAAGAGATCAAGATACAAACTCTGTAAAGAGTATAAGTTAGACTGGACACAAACACAGTTTAAGCTATTAGGTATTGAATTTGATATTGATTTAGGAAATATGGTTAATCTGAACTATGTAAATAAATTAGATGATATTGAAAAAGAAATGGAACATTGGGCAAAGAGAACTTTAACACCAATGAGTAGAAATATTGTGTTAAAATCATTATTACTACCTAAACTAAACCATTTATTCAGCGGTATACCAAGCCCACCTAAAAATATAATAGAAGCTTTTCAAAAGAAATGTTTTCAGTTTGTTTGGAAATATAAACCAGATAAAGTCAAGAGAGATACAATGTCACTACAGCCTAAGTATGGTGGCATAAGTGTACCCATATTAGAAAACGTTATTGCAGCTCAGAAACTTTGTTGGATCAAAAGACTATCTGTTAGTAAGTCCAAATGGGCATGTTTTTTATCATCATTTAGTTGAGGCAAAAATAGTAAATTTGGCTGATGCTTTCTACATAGAAAACAATATTGTCCAAAATATCCACAACCAATTTTGGAAAGAAACACTGTCAGTATATGCATCATATTTAAATTGTTGTGATAATATGGAACTATCTGTTACGGATGTATTGAATAAGTCAATCTGGTACAATAATAACATAACAATTGATAATAAGCCAGTATATTTTTCCCATTGGTATGAAAAAGGTATAACATATATTAACGATTTCTTCAACGATACAGGAAATTGGTTTAATTTCCATGAATTTATTCAAAAATATGCTTTGAATACAGACTTTTTAACATTTCAAGGGTTGAAACAATCTATCGCCCAATACTTACAAAGAATTAACTTTAGTCAAATACAAGACATCTCTCAAACACCAATATTACCTTATAATATTTCTAAAATCAACAGTACCAGTAGTAGATTATTTTATGAAATGTTGCAAAATTCTAAATTTACAAAACTTAAAAGCTATAGCAAATGGGAGCTTTATCTTAATAAACACATAACTGAAACAGAATGGATAAACTATAGTTTGATGGCAAAAAGATGTACACAAAGCAGTGACTTAAGATGGTTTCAGTTTAAGATTTTACATAATATTCTCAGCACTAATTGTTATTTATATAAGATTGGCTATGTTAAGTCACCAGCATGTTCATTGTGTAAAGATCCAGCTGAAACTATAGCACATGTGCTTTGTAATTGTCAATATGCAATAGCTATTTGGACAAAATTTACTAAATGGATTGAAGGATACATCGAAAGTAACATTCATTTAAGTGAAGAACATATATTATTTGGATTTAAAGGTAAACATAATAATCCTCCTAATGTGGTGATAATAATAATCAAATATATGTTGTATAAATGTAGTAAGAAAGCAGTGAAACCTAATTTTATATGGTTTCAAAAAGAAGTATTAAAATATTATGAAATCTCAAAATTTATTGCCTTTTCTAATTGTAACTATGCAAGTTTTCATTCTTTCTGGTCATCCTTCATCCTTCCATTTAACTGACTTTTCATGTATTTTGAAATACTATAACTGACTGACTGTAACTACATGTATTTTGTATATATGTGTACATATATATATATTAAAAAAGAGGTAATGTGCCGCAACACATTATGTATTTACATCAACACTACTCACTGTACACTTCGTAAAATACTTTCAATTGAACATAAAGCTGCTGTAATGGAAATTGTAGGACTAAAAGTTGGTAGAAGTCCTCCTGTTCAAACTCTGAAGGAATTGAGGATTCCGATACTTATACTGAGCATTCGACGTTTGATTGCACGTATGGCGAGGAAACTGGCAGATGTTATCCTAGCAAGGGTTCCCCACACCAGATACTGATGTGGTCGCCTGAGGTGGCTCATACAGTCTCAACAATCGTTATATGAGAACGTGGCAATATGATTGGTGGCATAGTCACAGTGACCATACTTCCTCCAGATTCATTGCGCAGATCGATGCTCATGATGTTGTTCACTGGATTGTCTGGTCCAGACTCGATTATTTACAGACCGCCGCCATATAGCTGGAATATTTCTGGGTGCGGCGTAAAACTAAACTCACTCACTTCTCCAGATTCAAGCAAAAATGTTACCCAATTACCATTTCAGTTCTGTTTACAGGGTAAAATATGTTACCATTTGAATACGCAGAATTTGTTTTCAACGCATATGCAGAAACATGTAGTGGTTTTGAACTTATCATATCAAAAGAGTGGGTGGTGCTTTATTAATGCCCATGTGTATACATGTAGTTGTGTATGTGCATAGGAATATTTACGTATCAACACATCTAAATTGTGAATCAGGGAATATTTGATTGATTATTACAATTCCGCATTGACGTTTACTTGTCGCTGACCGCTTTGTCTTTTCGTTCATGTGTTTATTAACTTTTATGCTTGTAACTTAATGGCATATAATTGTAGGCATAGACGCAGGATCGGCATGCGAATGTGAAGTAAACTACGTTAAAGCAGATGTCAGTTCAGACAGCAAGTTGTGCACGTGAGTATAATCTCTCATTTGTAGAATCCAGATATGGCGTGAGTATAGGCTGTCGTAACCCAGCATATGTGTTGGATATTAGTTACAGAATACGAATTACTGAAATTATTATTTTAGGGTTAAAGGGATTTTTCAAGGTTGAACATTAATAAGTGAAAAGTTACATTGTGTTGTATATTAATTATATCTTTGTACATTTAATTGCCGAACGATTAGTTGAAAGTGGGTGTCACACGTATGTACATGATACACGGTAAAGAACGCAACAAAATGAAATACAGTTATAACCTTTTCGCAGAGTGAGATATGCTTTTTGTTTGGACTCAAAACAATAGAGAGGTAATTATTGTTACTAACATCGAAGTACATATATATTGGGTGCCACAGAGAGACACTTCAGTTCATCAGCTGTGTGGCAGGGCATCCTGGGACGGTGTGTATGGCAACTGTAGCAGAGGCGGTTGCTGATGCAGAAACAACAATCATCAACATCCCTGGCAACATCTGCGGTATGTTTATGAAACAAATGAGCAAATGTGTTGAACTAACATGTATGGACGGACAGACTGTCCGAATTATGTATTCCCTCCGTAAAGATAATACAGACAAAGATGAATATAATGCTTTTCTCATATGTGATTGTTTAAAGTATTTACTGAAACGTGATATTCAATATTCACAAATTGTCCATCTTGCTCGGTTTTCTGAGCAGTTAACAATTAACGGTAGTCTGCTCACGAATACTATCTATATATTCTTTTATCTATAATCATATACTGACAAACGAAACCTCTACCACTCCCTGATAGGTACTATTTACGTACAAGATAATTACCTCTTCATTAAATCTTTCAACATAAACCAACTCCCTGTCTATTGATCTATGGAATGTATGACTGTCCCTTTGCCAGCTGTAGGTGAATCAGCATGTGCGTGTGAGATAGCCTATGCCAAGGCCAACATCAGCGACAACAACAAGCTGTGCACGTAAGTAACTTGGTTTGAATCAATTCGAATGTAAATGTAGCAGCGAATGTTTGATCGGTCAACAAACGCATGCTATGGGTGTGAGATACCCCGTGTTGTAGCTGACTGATAAAACTAAGCTTGTTACATAGAAAATATTTGGATTTGGAAAGGAAACATATACAGAAGACACATCGGCCACATAGATGTCAAGTATTTCTGTGAAACACCCCAAATGACTTAAAAATGTACACATGATGTCTTGGTTTGGAGATAACAACTAATGGGTGTCTTAATTAACACCCATTGCCTCAGAAGTGTTTGATATGTTCATGACATGTAGAATGCACGCACGCAGGCACGCGCGCACAGAAAGAAATGTGATGCAATCATCATACAAAATGCTGTTCTTCTGGTAACTTAAGAGGTCATGTGAGATAGGAGACAATAGCCAGCTCCGCTTATTTACAGAAAAAGACCAGAAATGTTACAGTACTCTCTGAAGCAGTGGACCACGGGGCCAGCAACCTGCAGTCATTTCCAGATCTTTCTGTCTAAATCTAGTAAAATCTAAGCATAGCACATCACTGCCCCCTTACTGAATCTTCATGTGCAATATATTTTGCTTGGAACATTGTTGCATGATGAACAACACTGCCGCATGACGATATGTGTATACATATCATATGTGTGTTTATATATGTGTCTGTGTGTGTGTTTGCATGTGGGTGAGGAATTTTGATTTTTGACATGTGGACAGCGAAACCAAAGTATACATTGGATGTTTGAGAGGAGCAGCTGGACCGGGATGTAATGGGACTGCCATTGTCCAACTGATCACAGAAGCCGAGGCAACACTGACAGTTATCCCCGACAGTGCGTGTGGTGAGTTACCTCCCCTTCCACATTTAGAACAGCCGCACCTACTCATCTCCTTGTAGAGAACCAAACAGAACTGAAGGCTGAGGTTTTTCTTTCTGAAGCAATGATTCACACAGCTTAACCTACCTTTAACCCTGGAAAGCAGCATATCAAATAGATCGTTGCATGTGTTTTTCTTCAATTTATGAAATTACATATTGAGATACAAATCATGGGAGACTTCTGGACAAACATGAAGACATGTGTTTAATTGACACCACTACAGGATACCAGTGTTAGGTTTCTTTTTCTGTGGTGCTTAAAACTGTACCCATTGTCTATTGTGTGCTATGAAATAGTTCCAGTGGCAAGACATGTTGTAGGATGACATTTCTAAGGACGAGAATAAGATACATTAGACCAGAAAAGCGATTACGTAATTGAAGGGATCTATTGAAAAGGACCAAACTAATTTCATTCACATATTGAGTTCTTGTTAGAGTTTCATGTGTTCATTTGTCCCGGAGCACAATGTATGGACATATTTCTGAAGCCAATAAAACCTTTCCTCCAGCGTTAAACACTACGGCGTGCGGCTGCGAAGTAACGTATGCAAAAGCTAACGTCGCTACCCTAGCTAAACAGTGCACGTGAGTTGTATATTATGCTGTTATATTGAGTGAACCATGGTTGCAAAAATAGTTCCAAACACAATGCGAAGTGCCAGTATGCATAAATGTAGTCATCTGAGGGGAAACATTTAACTATAACCATTTTCCTGTCATTGAAACAAACCACAATTCTCGCTATTGCTGAACAAAGATCTGACCATGTCCAATTCCGGGTCACGTCAAAACGACTTTTCATCTAGCCAATCAGAGGGTCGCTTACCAGACCAGGAATCTGACAGTCTGTATGTGTTTTCTGATTATGCTGCTTCCAAAAAGTTAATGTGGTGTAGTTCAGGACAAGAATTAAAACCATTGTCCATCTCTCGCTTCAGTGGAATAAACATTGAAAACTAGCGAGACTTCATATCCTATGGGAAGTAGTTATACAGCATCGTCTATTCATCAGATATTCTAGAATTTTCTTTGGTTCTGTTTTCAAATTTTAAATCATTGGGTATGGAAGTCTTTGGTCGACTTCTTGTTACTAATTTCTTGTGATCAGTCAAAGTTCGAGAAAGACCTGTCTGGGGTGGCCTTTAATGGGATGTTCCCATGATCTGTGGTCAGTAACAGCGAGAACCTGATTCAAGCCTTAGAACGTGTCGGATATCTGTGACTATAATGGACATCTTGCATGCTGGTCACATGCATATTCAAACTTTGACAGCTTAATAGTATGTAAATGATGGTATGGTGATAAAAGATGTCTTTATGATCACAACATAAACTCTTGCAATTGTGCAGTTGTCCCTTGCAGTGAGACGAAGGCGTTCATAGCGTGTCTGGCTGATAAGACCGGTACTGGCTGTAACACAAGCGTAACAGTGGACATGTTGATCAAACAAGGGGAGACAATTCTCCTTGGAATCGGAGCTGAATGCAGTGAGTCAAGAATTATTGTCTATTGATTCAGAAGAATGGCGCAGTCAGTATAAAATGATTATGATCATATCTACAGGCATGATATTACTTGAACATGCCCAAATATACCAAGTGAAAATTTAGTCCTGTGTCAGTCTGAATTTTTCATTATAAGTACAAAACATATATTGTGTTGTAAAGTCTCTTTATCAATGAACGGCACTGCCCCCTCCCACCACATATACAGATATAGTTTATACACGTTGTACATACAGTTAAATGGAAGCGACAAATTGCTTTCTACATTTTCATAACATATATCTGCTAAAAGCAGAGTTGATTTACAATTTGCCTATATCCCGAGAGTGTGTTTATGAATAAAAATATACAAATAGGAAACTTATTCAATCGTTAACCTGACAGAATTTGGAACGTATGGTACAAGCCAAACTCGGCCATTGCATAATTGTCATACTTGTCCATAATCATAATTAATGTTGTGATTCCCAACTAATTCAAAATATCTTTGCGAATGTACACTTGGTAACTGTAGACAATAAGCCCTGGCATAGTTTGTAGCGGTACATTTTATCACATTATTTTATCAGATTATCATACCATCCAGTTTGGTTCATATTTCTTAACATGTTACAATTAACTCAAATTAAAAAAAACAAAAACTAAGTGAGGCATTAAAAGTAGCAAAATATGATTTTGTAAGTAATTTTCTTTCCAGAGGTAACCGGAACAGCATGTGCATGTGAGATCGCCTATGCTTTGGCCAACACCAGTGACGACATTAAACTGTGCAGGTGCGTCACGCGTGCATTATATGCTTGACATTCATTAACTGTGCAAACATTCCCTGGTCAAACAACATGAGCATATAGTCGTTACCACGTACGTGTAGGATAAAAATAACAAAAAGCATGATTCAAATAAAGGCATCAAGGGTGTGCATTGTGTTGAACTTGTGTATCAATCTGATCGAAACTAAATTCTACAAATTTATTCATAAACATCTTCTACATATTTGTAATTTTGCGCATCTCGAAATACATTCTGCATGTCACCATTTATTCACATGTTAACAGGTTGGGTTTAACACGGTTGTGAACATTCTTTTCATGTCACGTGTTTGTGCATGTGGAAGGAAAGCCCGTGATCCAAGTCGTGATCCAAGTCGTGATCCAAGCCGTGATCCAAGTCGTGATCCAAGTCGTGATCCAAGTCGTGATCCATGTCGTGATCCATGTCGTGATCCAAGTCGTGATCCAAGTCGTGATCCAAGCCGTGATCCAAGTCGTGATCCAAGCCGTGATCCAAGTCGTGATCCAAGTCGTGATCCATGTCGTGATCCATGTCGTGATCCATGTCGTGATCCAAGTCGTGATCCAAGTCGTGATCCAAGTCGTGATCCAAGTCGTGATCCATGTCGTGATCCACGTCGTGATCCAAGTCGTGATCCATGTCGTGATCCATGTCGTGATCCAAGTCGTGATCCATGTCGTGATCCATGTCGTGATCCAAGTCGTGATCCATGTCGTGATCCAAGGTGACATGAGGTGCTGGCAAACCTGGCAACATGGTGTTGGGAGATCCGGGATGGTTTTTATCCATGAGCACAGGGTTCTGGCGTGCCAGAAAGACGCAACACTACACTGCGGTGTGTTAGACGACTGATCAACATTGCGATATCTATGCAGCTATATTTGTAATTCATACATTTTTCCTTTACAACATAGTGAAACGAAGAAGTTCATCGGTTGTTTGAAAGGTAAAACCGGAACCGGATGTGACGGAAGTTCATCGGTGATGCAAATAGCTACAACAGCAGGAACAACTCTGGGGACTATCACGGGCGGAGACTGTAGTGAGTTATCTCCTAACCTGCATCCTCAGGCAGGAAATTTGTACGAAGTTTACTTTCAATTTTTGGTCATTAGTTCGAATTCTCATTTGGGTTTCACTTGTGCTATCGGTCAGAGTGAATGAATGAGTATGGTTTTACGCCGCTTTTAGCAATATTCCAGCAATGTCACGGCGGGGAACACCAGAAATTGGCTTCACACTTTGTACCCATGTGGGGAATCGAACCCAGGTCTTCGGCGTGATGAGCGAATGCTTTAACCACTAACTACCCCACCGCCCCGCTATCGGACAGAACAAACTATGTACAGTTGAGTGGGTATGGGTTGCACATCCTGAATATTATTGTTTAACATTTTACTTTTAGGTTTTACAAATACCACATGTGGCTGTGAAGCAGATTTTGCCATGGCCGACATCAGCGACAACACTCAACATTGCAAGTACGTCGTAGTTATTTATCGTAGTTATTGTTTAAATGGGTAGTGATTATACCATCCTTCACATGGACAGTAGTTACACCAACCTAAACCAACCTTTACACGGGTAGTGATTACACCACCCTTCACACGGGTAGTGATTACACCACCCTTCACACGGGTAGTATTTACAGCAAAGTTTACAGGGGTAGTGATTACACCATGCTTCACGCAGGTAATGATTACACCATGCTTCACACTGGTAGTGATTACACCATGCTTCACACTGGTGATGATTACACCATGCTTCACACGGGTAGATGATTACACCATGCTTCAAACGGGTAGTGATTACACCATGCTTCACAGGTGATGATTACACCACCAAACGGGCTTGATTACACCATGCTTCACACGGGTGATGATTACACCATGCTTCACACGGGTAGTGATTACACCATGCTTCACACGGGTGATGATTACACCATGCTTCACACGGGTAGTGATTACACCATGCTTCACACGGGTAGTAATTACACCATGCTTCACACAGGTGATGATTACACCATGCTTCACACGGGTGATGATTACACCATGCTTCACACGGGTAGTGATTACACCATGCTTCACACGGGTGATGATTACACCATGCTTCACACGGGTGATGATTACACCATGCTTCACACGGGTGATGATTACACCATGCTTCACACGGGTGATGATTACACCATGCTTCACACGGGTGATGATTACACCATGCTTCACACGGGTGATGTGATTACACCATGCTTCACACGGGTGATGATTACACCATGCTTCACACGGGTGATGATTACACCATGCTTCACACGGGTAGTGATTACACCATGCTTCACACGGGTAGTGATTACACCATGCTTCACACGGGTAGATGATTACACCATGCTTCACACGGGTGATGATTACACCATGCTTCACACGGGTAGTGATTACACCATGCTTCACACGGGTAGTAATTACACCATGCTTCACACGGGTGATGATTACACCATGCTTCACACGGGTAGTAATTACACCATGCTTCACACGGGTGATGATTACACCATGCTTCACACGGGTAGTGATTAGACCATGCTTCACACGGGTGATGATTACACCATGCTTCACACGGGTAGTGATTACACCATGCTTCACACGGGTAGTGATTACACCATGCTTCACACGGGTAGTAATTACACCATGCTTCACACGGGTGATGATTACACCATGCTTCACACGGGTAGTGATTACACCATGCTTCAAACGGGTGATGATTACACTATGCTTCACACGGGTGATGATTGCACCATGCTTCACACGGGTGATGATTACACCATGCTTGACACTGGTGATTATTACACAATGCTTCAAACGGGTGATGATTACACCATGCTTCACATGGGTAGTGATTACACCATCCTCCATATGGGTAGTGATTAGGTGTCGACTAGAGTCTTGACTGCATCATATCATGTGCATCTTGCAGTGCAACAAAGACATTCATCTCCTGTCTGGCGGGAAAATCTCAGACCGGATGTGACGGCAGGACAAGTGTTGGTCAGTTAGCTACTTCAGCAGAGTTAGCTGCCTCAGCAACCGGTAACTGTAGTAAGTACATGGAGATCGCTGCAGGTGTCATGCTCGTGCGTCAAGTAACTGCTGATAGATCAACTTGAGGACTGACTGTATTTTGTCGGTTCCATGCAGTAGAAATAGAAAAAAACTTTTGCTAACTTTTGTAAGAAGACGCTAAGTCAATTCTTATTATTAAATTGGGCAATGGATCAAATATGATTTCTACAATGGTTTCATCAAACAGTTATAAGAATTAAAACAGAACAGGAATTACGAGATTAACAAACATTCCAGCTGAAGAATTTCATACTGTGGCTGAATACTGAGTGAATGAGTGAGTATGGTTTTAAGCCGCTCTTAGCAATATTCCAGCAGTATCATTGTAGGGACACCAGAAATGGGCTTCAAACATTGTACCCATGTGGGGAATCGAACCCGGGTGTTCAGCGTGACGAACGAACGGCTTAACCCCTAGACTACCCTACCGCCCCAACTGTGGCGTTATGTGTGTCAGGTGTTTAATTTCTGTACATAGCTTGAAACGCCCACAGAGACAGCAGCCAATCAACGCTGAGTAGCCTCAGACTGTAACAACGGGAATAAGTGTCAGGAAGAAGTCGGTTCTTTTAAATGAGATTCAAATTCAAGTATTGGTTTCATGAGGACGGGTGAGCACAGCTGAAAACTGTCAGACATTTTCGACAATATTTTGGCGTATATTCTATATATTGGGGCCATGTGCACTCACTTATTGAGAGAAATGCATTATGTTGTTTTTAGAGAACTGTGGTGTGCCATTGTGCCTTTAAGTTTCATACTTACTGGGAAATGAATGCAATAACATGTAACAAGTTCACCCAATCACAATGCAGGAAATGCAATGGACACAGCGAAAATTCAATTATGAATTTGCATACTCAACGGCGTTTGTGTTTATTAGTCATCGTCCTTGATTTCGAAATAGTACCCTTGTACTAGAATACTTCACCATGTATGGGCTATAGTGTTACCCATCTGATATTGGGGT